GACTAGGTATGAAAAGATAACAACACTGCACTGGGGGAGGGGGACTAGTATGAATTGTGCATTGTGCAACAAAGCACTTCATGGCACGGCAACCTAAATAGTGAACACACGCTCGTCTTCTAATATTAGGAAAAACTCRTCATGTCCTATCAATCACATAATAATATATAATAATATATATTAATATGAATTTATCTTTTGGCGAATGCTGTACCTTGCCAAACCTATTCTTGCTCTCTGTCCTCCACTAAGAGAAACTCCTCTTTCACCTACTAATGTCGTGTCACCTTCAGGGAGAAGTTCGATATCCTGTATAACAAGATAGAAAACAAGGGGGTGTTACAAGTGGGAAAAGACACAAAATCATGCTGTGCTGCAATGGTTGATGCAATAATTACTGGATTCTATCGTGAGGCCATATGAATCCTCCAGTTTCAAGTTCTTAGTTGATAGGGGTTGCCTTGATTTGTAAGAATATCAATGTGTTTAAAGGTTTTAAAGCGTTTGTATGTATTTGAAGGCAAGCGTTCTTTACTTTTACCGTTGATATAATATTTCGACATTGAAATGAGGCTAACCCTGAGAAAACGAGTCTTTAATGACGAAACACAGTGGTAGTGAGTGTTGACCTACCTGTTCCAACGCGCAGACTTTGATGACCTGTTTATAACGCTCTTCCTCATACTCTTTACCAAATATGATGTTATGACGTAACGAGCTGTTGTAGATCCAGGCCTGTTGAGACGCGTAAGCGATCTTGCCTTTAACATTGAYGGTGCCTGACRTCATTGGGAGCTCACCCAGTATGGACATCAGAAGAGAAGACTGGAAATAAAACAGACGCGGGAAAACTAAATGAATGATATCTTTAAAAAGTAGGCGTGGTTAATGGCTTATTGCATGCTGTAACTTGTGCAACGCGTGCCTCTACAATGCCCTTGAATAGCATTTCATCTTGATGACTATTCAGTCAGTYACRAGATACATCCCAAGACTTTGTTCAATCAAATTGTACTCGATTAAATTGGACACATATCAATGTAYRCAATGTAACTAAGTGGAACAAAAAGTAAGTTTGACCGCCCTTTCGGCGCCCTTCATGTCAGTAACGATAGCCRTGGTTCAACCATGGCTCAATATCACAGTCAAGGCAGGATTACCAAAAGCAAACAGAACCATTATTTACCTTTCCAGATGCTACAGGACCAATCACCCCGAGTAGTTCGCCCTATCAGTGATATAACAATAATGTATTAGAAGTAAAACGGCTTTCAGAGAAGCTTTCACGTGCTTTCAGTTCGACGTCCTTATGCTGCCCACTGCTGTACTTGCRGTGGTGATTAGCGATGACAAGTTTTAAAGAAGATAGTTTTGTCTCCAATAAACAAGATGGATCTGATTAGACTTCCTCGTAGCCACTATCAGTTAGAAAGTGTCGCGTGAACGACACTCATAGCGGCTGCGAAAAAGACTAGGATCTGATTGGACTGATTCTATGTTCTGTTTACAGACAGAAGACAGAAGGAACAAATCATGGGCTTTCACAAGGACTTCTGATAAATACTGGCTTCTTCGAATCATGGAAKACAAAGTAAACACTAAAAGCCATGAAACTAAACTTGAGATATGTGGATGGTACTTACTGCTTTGACTTCAAATGACACATCATCTAGTGTAGGACTTGCAATTTTCTTCAATAGAAAATATACAGATTAGTACGAAGCAACATCTTGATGATGATGATGGTAATGGAAAAGGGGGAGACTCAAAAATAAAGGTTGAAAAAAATTTCAGGATGTATTGATGGGGAAAACAAATTTTACAACTTACTTTGTTCCAGTTGGCCGTCACATTGTCAGCTTTTACTGTGCAGTCTTGAMGTTTTGGTCTCAACTGTGAAGTGATAAGACCTTTTGACTGCATCTCATCAAGCAACAACAGCTCCTACACGTACACAAAGTTACACATTAAATACAAAACTGAAGAGGTCAGCGAGTAAAGTAAAACGTTGACCTCCCCACACCTGTTTCAAAAACTATTTATAGACTCCTTACATGTGACATCAAAGCAAACTCAAWTTGGAGGCAGTAAAAAATACAAGAATTTGAGTCTCATGAGAATTTAAAATCTCTGTTATGTCCTCCATTTCTATGTGCTGCAAGGGGTCTATTGTACCTTGGYAGTACATTAGAGAGATCACGGTGTACCCAGTGTAAAGGCGCTTATAATTGTCCATCTCTCACTGCTGAGGGTGTGGGATGAACCTACCACCATATCTGAATAGTGGTCAGTGTTTGGTAGTTCTCTCCTTAGTTACGAGTATACAGCAGCTAGGTATTACCAGTTTTCTTCCTTCACTAAAAGAACGTCTTATTCATTATTTGGTTCTAACTTCAAATTTTTGATTTGTTGCCAGTGTCCAGCRTTATAACAGAGCGTGAGAAAAAAAACAAGCAACGATTTAAAAGACATACCTCCATACGAATAAGTGATGCTTTGCTTTCATTCAGCAATGYAATGGCGATTGGGAAGTACATTGCCATGACAACACGAATAGAGTTGAAGAGAGACACACAGGTGAATACTTTAGAAGCAGTCAGAACCTCTCCTGACATCACGTACGTAAGAAAGGTAATAAAGCTGATTAAAGCAAGAGAGCTGAAGAAAAATGATGCAAATAATCCATTCGCCAATGAGGTTCGTAGAAACCATTTGAGCTCGTTCCTTGAAAATAAAAAAATATGGACACCTAAGAAAAGAGATTTATATGCTCTAATCTTTCACTAGTGGAACCATATTATACTTGTGCAACACTGTGAAAGAAAACCCAAAGTAACATATGATCTGTATTAGCAAAGTCATGCAGAATGTCATTTTAGGATACACAGTACACAAATTCATTTMATTTTTGAATAAAACAAACTTAAGAAGAAAAATAAATAAATAAATAAAACGTGCTATGGGCTTTTAGAGAAAAGGACCCGATTGTGTCTTGTGCATCCTTAAGAGAAATAAATCCCTCTAAAACCATTTGTCAGCAAACAGCTGGCACTGTTGCACCATCTCTCAACCAACCCAGTTTGTGCTGTTCTCCATGCTTTTTGTTTATAACATTGGTACACAATATTCCTTAGAGTGATGACATACTTTCTTAGTTTAGTGATCCATTCAGTAAAGGAGTTTTCCCAAGTGTACATTTTAATCACTCTCATCCCAGCGATGACTTCATTCATTATCTTTACTCTCTCGTCCATCCATATCAGTGCTTTGGTTCTATATATTATAGAGATGGGTTAAAATAAACATCAAATAGAAGAGCTGTATCAACTAAAAATAAACTACWGGTCAACCAGAAGAATAGAAGATAGTGGACGGTTAATCAGATCATTTTCTATTCTTGTCTTGGTGATGTTATTATATGAATTTYGTACATTTCTTTGAAAAGGCAGGACTTTTCATGGTCACTATATATGTTGTGATGAATAGAATCACCGGCTATCATCATCATCATCACCATCATCGTCATCATCATCATCATCATCATTATCATCATCATTATCATCATCATTATCAACATAAACATTCAACACTTTTATTATCATTATTATCATCATTCTCAGCAACATCAAGATCAACATCCTCATCATCACTGCCATTACCAACATCATCATTATCATTACTACCACCACTACAGTCATCATCAATTCTGATGTCCTACAATTCAAAAGCTTAGCAATAAACATTCAATACATACATAAAAAGCTGTTCAGAGTAATGATTAATGCATTAACAACAAGAATACTGAATATGTGCCATGCATGGTTCTTTACAGTCACCTAAGCCATGCTCTAAAGAAACGTCCTTACCTAAGTGTCATTAACAAAGTACCCATTTTGATTTCCATCGGAGCAAGACATATCAGCAAGCCCATCCCTGCTACAGCTGCCATGCCAATCTGATACCACAGCAAGACCAACACTACCACAACCTCTAATGGACCAAGAATCAGATAGTGTAGAAATGGTGCAGTCTGGAAAAGGAAACAATGGCATGTAAAATATGACTTTAGAATAATGAGCCATGATCTACAGTCARCCAAACATAGCCTCCTTCAAGAGACAAGTTTGATTCTTACAGTCATACACTGCTACCTAGATTTCTTGATCTAACATCAACGTACCCAGTCAAACTTCTGTGTATCAGATGACACCAAATTAACAATATTTCCAGTTGTTGTTGAAGCAAGTGCAGCATTACTAAGACRTAAAGTCTAGAGTGAAGAGAAAATAAACAAATAAAAAATTAATCAAAGCTTGTAACACACATTTCCACRTGTTTCAATTAGTAAAGGTGGGGTTCCTTCTTATCCCTCCAAAAAAAAAACCAATAAAATCCTCCTTACCCAAAAAAAATCAGTAAACCAAAAATCTCAAATATTTTATATGAAACACACACAGTCTGTATATGCTTGGGGACTTGCAGGTGAGCAGCTAAGAAACCCAAATGGTTGCGATTCAAAGAACATATATTTTTTAATGTTTTCAATACCACTAACCTTGCTATAAATAAGAGAGGTACAAGCCACCCTGACTCTCATTCCATAAACATTTCTCAAATAGGAGAATGGAGTGTTGAAAATTGTAATGAGAAATCCACACAAACCAAGACCAGCAGCAAACAGATATGCATCTCTAGCTGGCATGGTAGAGTCTTCAGAGAAGTAGGTAATCAACTGCCCAAGCAACATAGGTTGTAGGATACGCAAGCCATCCTTTAACAGTATGAGATTACTTTTCAGTTATCTATGTAAACTAGACTTTAAAACCCTAGCCATTATCTTAAATCACAATCATATATATTCAATTGGTAGCAGATATAAAAGAAAGAATAATTGTTGCAGCATGAAGCAAGATTATTGCYGCACCCATGAAAACAGTCTATTTAAAAACATGTTACACTGCACTGCAAACTTACTGCAAAAATGGCCAGTATCCCAAGTGCTGCATATCCTTTACCAAAAGCTTTGACCAAGGCTTTAACTAAGCTAGGTTTCTTAACTTTTTCATTATTTTGTGACCTGCGAACTTCATTTTCCCATTCACTGYAAAAGAAAAGTTAAAAGTGTATGACAGCAGAGCATAGTTTAGAGTTGGGGTCTAATCTGAGGGGTCTGAGGTTTAATGCCCTCAACTCCTGACAATTCTAAAATTTAGGCTCTCAGAAATGTGATTTATAGCCACATGGTTTTGAGGATAATAGGATGCTTGCATGATGGTGTAATTTGACTCCCACTACCATAATGCTTCATGAATTTTCTTCCTTATTTAAATTTTGTATCCCTCATGAGATTAGTAAGACAATTGGTGCTAATTAACTGAACATCCTATTGCAACGTAATTTATTGCATTAATAAAGTCATGCTAAAAGTTTTAGGCAAATCAAAAACTCAAAATGTGGGTTGGGAGCAGGGCTCAGCTTCCATCCCCCCCCCCCCCCCCCCCCCCCCCCCCCCCCCCCAATCCCCACCATTCCTATCAGCTAGAACAGACATAACTACCCATGGAGGTAGTTAGCAATGATTAGCGCATGTGGTAAAAAAAATCCAGCCATCATCTCAAAGTTGCCAAGGCCATGCAAACATAAAAAATAAATGGAGAATATTTCCACACATTTTTTATTTTAATCYTAAAAAAACATGCTGGGTTAATTAATATTAAAGATAAAATATTAAYATTATTTACTTTTGAAGTTTATCACACAAGGTGCCTGTCTGGTCGGGTGTCATGAGCCCATATAAGTCACTTGCTTCTAGAGGTCGCTTGGCACCAAGCGAAAGAAAACTATTGAGCCACCTAATGAAAAAGAACAATATTAATAAACCAACAAAGGATGAGAAACCTTATTGATGAACCAATGTTAACAAAATAAGAGATAAACACATTCAAAGGGATCAGTGCTAATCCATGAAAACTGGTAATCYAAATCTTTAATTCGTGGGGAACGTCATGACACATTTCATGATATAATATTTAATGCTTTATTTATCAATGACTGCATTTCAGTAGTTGTTTTTCTCTTATTTAGACTAGCTCATATATTCTCTAGTTCTCAACAAGAGCAAACGTTTTTCTCTTGACTACCTTTATCTAAATTTAGTGGAAATGACTATTACCATAAAGTAATATATTTTGACAAGAATGAAGCAGCTTTCATAGGTGTTGGGATCACACCAGCACTGTCTTTTCTGCCTCCTAACAAATCAGCACTGGCATCATCCTGCTTATAGCTTCCATCATCATCATCACCTTCATCATCATCATTGTGCTTGTCAAAAGGTTTCTTATCTAAGTTGCACACACTACCACTCTGATCTTCTTGATGATTCATCTCTTCTGATAAACAAACTATGTACTTTGCAACAACAACAACAAAAAAAACAGAAATATGTTACAATGCAAAATATAAACATAGACAACATAGATGTAGGGTTTCAAAACATTTATGGTTTAATATGGCTATAAGGCTTGAGTTTGCTGGGTTATCTATGACAMATGGTTATTTGTTTATAAGACCCCTATCTCCCTTTTTAAGAAGGCTGTGCCATGCCTGCCTGCAATAAATAACCCTAAAGGCTTAATAAAGCTTCAGATATTAATGACTGTGAAGTACTCTAGAAGGTAGTGGGAGGGGGGCTTAAATTTGAAAATTAAGTAAACTAGCATGTCTAACGTGCTAAAGTAGAGTACAAAAACTAAATGTGTGCAATAGTTATCACTATTTAGTAGAAAATAGCACTAATTAAACAAGAGAAAACAATAGAATTAGCATAAGATAACATTACTTAGTGATTTTGTTGCACACATTTAGTGTTTTTACTCTAGGAGGGCTGCATGAGACTTTCGTTAGCAAAAAGGGCTATAAAACCACACCCTGTGTAAACAGAACATTCAGGACAAAGATCATGGCTTGTTCTAGGATTTCTAATAAAACCTCGAAATAAATTTTACRGTTGATTTCTTTGCCCTTTGCAAGCTTTTAAAAAGATTACTATACCTTTACGTATACCTTGCTGCCACAATGGTAGTATCGATGGTTCCGAGGTTATACTATACTATATCTATGGCCTTCCTGTGGTGTTGCATGGGGAAACCGCTGAGAAAAGCGGACATCAAATGACATCATGCAAGACTGACGAGGAGGGGGTGAAACTATTTATTTCTTATTGAGATATTTACTAATTAAATCAAAGATTACTAAAATTGTTACTTTTCTCATTCTTTAACATTGCATGATTTTAAGATAAAAGTGCCAAATTGTAGAAAGTAATTCGCTTTCATACATTATTTTGAGAAACTAAATTATACTCACTCTCCCCTCCCTAACAAATTATCCATGTAGGTACACTGACTATTACTTAGTCTTGTGTATTGTCGTTCAAGATGCCTGTACAAGTCTACAATGTCCCGATTATTTTGCCAAGTTTGCGAAGAGAAGAGTCCATCCACCAGATTATTGACTCTTTGGAGTATCTCGAGAAAATCACAGAAGACATATTTTCTAAAATCAGCTCAAGAGTTGGCGAAAATCGTGAGAGACTCGCTTCCTTGAATCAAAGGGTGGACCTTGCACAGGCCAAAATAGACAGAATAAAAGGAATTAAAAAAGCTACAAGAGTATTTTCAAGCGCTAAATACCCAGCTCCACCGAAGCTGGAACCGTACAAATCTCTGTACTCGACGGAGAATGATCTYGAAGAAATCAAACGACAGAATTACCGTCTAAACTCAAAGTTTACTGCAGTGGATGAGAAGATCATGAAAGAAAAACTACAGTTCTACAATGTAAACTTGGACATCAAGAAAAAGAACGATGAAACCAAAGAAGAAGGCCTTGGTTCTATTCCTAAAAACCTTCATTCTGTCAGTTCACTTCTTCTGTTCAATACTACTGAAAACCCATACAAGAAGTATGTGATGTTAGATCCATTGTCTGGAGCTGTTACCAAGACAAGGAGTAATATAGAAGAAGAACAGGGAATAGGTGCTGCTCCAATCACTATCACGCAAGGAGATGAGATTGATAGATTAGCAGCAACTAATTACTTTTATGTTCCTAATCTTGGCGAGGTACCAGAGATTGATGTACCAGTGTATTTACCAGATTTGCCTGGTATTGCAGATGACTTGGCATACAGGTATGCAGTGTCCCCAGGGAAGGGGGTATTTGATCTGCTCCTAGCTGTGAACTTTGATGCACACATACATATCACAAATCTGTTCCACAATAAGAATACGTGGGCATCATACCAAATTTACTCTATATGACAACCTTGGGACCCCAACAGTCTTCTACTATTTAATTGTCTGGCTGTGTTTCCAGCGTATTTGGTCTTTATARTGGAGTGGTTAATAGGTTAACACATCAGACTAAAATACCAAAGACATGGGTTAGATTCCTGCCAAGGCTGTTTCAYCCATCACACCAAAACAGCCCATATCTTTTAACATTTCTATTTGACAACCATGTATTTTTATTCATCATTCAATAATRTCTTCATAACATCTATATTTCAGTGCTGAGCTTGGGCCATCCATTGCACCCTCAGTTCCACAAGGACTAGACCTTCCTGAAATAGCTGAAATAGAAGTTCCAAAGATAGACCAAGGGGCTCCACCCCCACCACCACCACCACCAGCTGATGCAGGACCAGCACCACCACCCCCACCTCCACCACCAGGAGGTGTCCCACCTCCTCCTCCTCCACCCCCTCCTCCTCCTCCTGAAGGGGTTCCTGCAGCTCCTCCACCACCTCCGCCATCAACAGAAATAGGTATCTAAAATTACATTCCAAATAGAAATCCTTTACCATACATGTATGTCAGTAGAAGAAGATACCCAATTTACGTTTTGCTACATCTTTTGAGATCTTGGATCAGGCTACAAACCAGTTTTCAATCGAGGATAAAAAGAGGCCATCCATATACTTTGAGAGAAACCCATCTTAAACCAACATCTTTATCATGTTAATTTCAAACTTTTTTGTAATTTTAATCTTCAGTTCATTCACTAGTTTCAGGGCTTCAAATAATGGCCCCTTAATTGCAAGTCTTGATGACCACCAAAACAAGTTTTAGATCAGTCACACCTCGTGTTTGCTCAAAGTTTTTGGCTGGACAAGTTCTAATCCTAGTCGGGTTTTTTAATTGTCCAATGTCGTGCCATTATCACCCTGTAGACTATATATTTATATTCACATTACATATTCTGTTACATTCATTACTAATGATGGCAGCAGCTCTGCCAAAACTTTTCTAAAAAGAATTGTCATATTATTTATATCATGTGTTTTTTTCTCCTAAGGAAAGGTTATATAGTTTTGAGAATTTTGTCTCCGATCTTACAGAGCCTAGTGCTYTTTCAAGTGTAATATGTCACATGACTTATCGAACATTATACTCTTTTTTTTAGCTGCAGCTCCAACAGCTGCACCAGAAAATATACCAGAAGAAGTTCAATCTGATGGGCGTGCAAGTCTCATGGATGCAATCCGTAAATCTGGTGGCCGTTCAGGCGCAAAGCTTAGAAGTGCCAAAGAGAGAAAAATGAAAAAGAAAGCAGAGAAGGAACAAGCTGCAGTTTCATCTGCTGGTGGAGGAGACCTCATGGGAGATTTGTTTGCAAAACTTTCAATGAGGCGTAAAGGTATTTCTGGAAGTAAAGGAGAAGGTTCTGGGTCCAGTGCAGCAGGTAATTCATCTGGAAGTACAGGTGGTGGCTCGGCAATGGATAAGATCTCTGCTATGATTCCATCTCCTCCTAAATCCAGTCGAGGAGAATCAGTCAGATCCAATGACAGTGATGACTGGGATGTCTAGGAAATTTCTACTTGTATATATTGTTATAGAGAATGTTTAAAAATATATCATGAAATTATCCCCATTTAGATAAAACTACCAAATGTTCTTTTTGAATCCAAATCAAGACTTTGATATATGAAGCAAGATATTGTCATTGTTAAGGAATATTGTTTTTATCAAGGGAATTGCTAAGACTGTCACTTTTTTAAGTTCCAAATTTTTTGCATATCAATTAAGCAACTTTTGGCAAGTTGGATATCTTAGAAAGGTATTTTCCTGCACACGCCATTGTAAGCACTACTTCCTGATCATATGGGAAGTGGTTAAAATGATATAATGAAAAGAAAAAAAAAAGAGTGAGTGAATGCTGTGTGCAATCATAAAGCTCTTGGTGATTGGCAGAACAAAAAAGAAGTGTTAAAAGCATGTTGGGGAGCAGAGTGCTTCTAGTCTGTTCTGCCTAGACCCTAAAAGAAAATGCCTAAAAATATATTTTTTTGATTGATATCTTTGAGTGTCATGATGACATATTTTGTCCTCTGTGAGTGCTTGTTAACTTTCACATCATKTAATAGTCTTGTGCTCAGTTCTAATGTTTGCATACTTAATCATAAAAATAATCCACCTTCCTAGCTCTAATATTAAGATTTGATATTAAAATAACACATTAGATTGCCAGAAAAATTAATTGCTGTATTGACAGTATTCAATCTGGATGACTAGGTATAGAATTCCATGTTATTTTTCCATAAAAAGCAAACAGCATGAATAATTTGAAAGCCATGTAACTAATGTTCAAATTATTCATGCAATGCCAGGTGTTTGCAAATCTAAATAGAACATACAAAAGTAACCAAGGGAGCATTACTATATTTTTCTAAAGAGGATTAGCTTGTGAGATTATTTCACTCAATATTCATTTTAATTTGATTAAATTTGCATAAAATAAGTATCATAATCAACGTTGATGATGAGCAATGCCAAAATCGTTGTGAATAATCGTAAGAAAATATAACTACACCTTCAACCAGATAAAAGATTAATGTTGAAATTAGTATTTTAATTTCTACTTATTTTAATTACTACTTTGTAAGTATGTATTTGATTGAAAGTGGTTAGGTGCAGATATATTAGTTAATGATTTATCTTGATATTACATAGCCAGATAAAATGTTTATAGTGTATTAAAGTGATTAATCAAGCATTTGTATTTTAAATTATTTTACAATCAGTCAACATTGAATTTTCAGTTAAACATGTCTCCTGATAGTTCTAGATATCAATCATGATATAAATAGATAAAATTCTGGAATAGACTTATTAAACTTGAATCCCAAACTTGAGTCAAGGTCAGATGTGAGTGTTAGGAAGTGCATGCCCTCCACGAAAAGTTGTGACTCATTCCGCAGCATTTTTTGCAACAATCAGTAGTACCCTTTTTTACCARTTACACCCTTTGAATCCTGTCTGAAACAAATATTAGACAATGTAGTACACCAACTGATTGAATGTGTTTTGTACCCCTAAAATGCATACCCAGTACTGATTACTCCATATTGGTCTATTATATTTGATAGATACATAGATACATCATGGCAACCAAAAAAAAAAAAAAAATCGGGCATTTTCTTTTCTTCTGATGAAGAAATTTCTAATGAAATTAATCATTGAAATAAAAGAAAAATTGATATAATGCTCTGTGTAGGTGGCTAGAGGAAAGGAAGAGCGGTGACGTTATTATAAGTGCTTCCATTGCGAACAAGAGGGGGAAATCTAACTATCAATATCATTTTCAAATCATCCAAAGACAATTATCTAAGAGCGCCAAAACATAGACATTACCATGAATCTAGTTTTGGGATTGTTCTTCGTTTGCYGTCTTTTTTTGCCGTTTCAGCTTGTTTCAACTCGACAGGACAAAAGATCTACCTCTAGATCTTACGTCAAAGTCACAAGATTGTTTGCTCATGACGTGTTAGGTACTCCGGGTAATGTGATAAGAAAACTTTCAGCCGGATGATTACCTAGGAAGTCTTAGCGCTGCACTGGGAATCTATTTACACGCGACATGTCATGACCCATTGCTTCGCATTTTTAGAATTTCGAATCGAGCGAACGGGCGAGCAGAAATCGAATGCATCATCAAACATTTGGAATCTGAATGATCTAGTAATCTCTRTCATAAAACATCCGAAATTAATCTGCTTATATACTCGACATCAGCCGTTAATATTAATCAATAAAATTTGATTACATGTAATTCTCAGGAACCAATATTATTCTTATTTCTTAGGTTATCTATAGCCAATTTTTTTTAGAAACAACACTGCAGTTCGTTTGATTAATAATAAGAACGCAAAATCAAGTATAGGACTAATTTATAACACACTGTRTTATTTTGGGTTAAAAGAAAATAAACGAACACACAATATTATTTTTAAGAGGATTTATTACTAACCATGATGGTTTTACAAGTTGGATATTTGAGCAAAATCAACTCTTTTCCTCTAACGACAGTCCATGTTTTTTGTGAAGGGAGAATCATCAGCTGATTTCTAGGCAGAATGTTCAGCTAATCCTTGTGCCAGAAGAGCTCTAGCGAGTGCTTGATCCTTGAAGATGCTTGGGTTGGAGAAAAGGTTTCGGAGTACGCTGAGCTCTTTAGTGAGAACTTCAACCCTCGCATGAAGTTGGTCGTTCTCCTCTGTGAGCTCCTCGACCTTGTGGAGTGTCTCGTGAAACTTTTGTTTGGTCTTGAAGCGACTTTTCCTTACAGCAACATTGTTTCTTTCTCGCTTTAAGCGGTACTCTTCGGTGTCCTTCTCAAGGTTTCGCTTGTTGGAACTGTGCTTTCGCATTGTTCGCGAAGACGGAGCCTTCAGCTGAGATGATGCCGATGGTAACTTCTTCTGATGRCTGTCCCTTGGTACCATGGTTGGAGGCTTACTATTACTATTATTAYACGACATAACCAATTTAGGGGAAACTTCTTTAGGTTCTCTTTTAACAACTAAGTTTGACAATTTCGAAAAATAGCCAACGTCTACTTCAGGTAAATATGGTTCCTCTTCTTTAACACTCTTACGGGGTAGATACTTGCAAAGGTCGTCTGGATCAGTATTGAGAGCGGCAGGATCGAGGTATGAAGTGAAGTCGATGGAGAAGTCGTTGATGCACGAATCTTCCAAGCTCGATGCTGGAGATGGGATGTCATCAAAGAGTTCAGAGCAAGGAGAACTTGCTGCAGACCACTCACCGGTTTCGTACAGATCAAGAACGTCCATGGCTTCGCTGCATATTGGGTTGATGTTRTACGAATCCTGCTCAGCCTTCAGGTCCAGTCCGGTAGGGAAAGGGGGAGGGATATCGAAATCCTTAAATGGAGGAATTTTGGCGACTTGTCCGGTTAAAAACTTTGAAACTTTTAGGGTAAAAACCCTTCGACTCTTCCTTRTGTAGCGCGCTTTCGTTGAAGACGTACAAAAAGAGACCGAGTAGGGATGGGGACGACACTTTGGCACTTCGCACTCGCATGGCTTACTTCCATATTTAGACATTACACATTCAAATATCGAACACTGATTGGCTCATACGGTTGCTTAGATACAATGACGTCATGGGTTTCACTTTCTGGAGGGGAGGGGATAAAGTGAAATTGTCGTATGCATAAAGGAATGGGTTTCCGTCTCATTGTGGAACGCCCCCTGCGTTAGCAGGGCTACAGCAGCTGGTTGAATTACAAGTGCTCCGGTTCTCCGGATACGTGACTAGAATCATAGATATTTTGAGAAAGCAATGGACTTTGATTAAGGGCAGAAYTCAGAATTACATCACACAAGAAATCATGTTTATACAAATCAATATATGTGCCTTTATTGTTTGCAAACAGATACATAAGTACAAGCCAGTTAGTAACGCGAGGTGAATATCCAATATTCATGGCGTGAAAAGTTTAAGTGACTCCTACTACTATTGTTTTATTCAAACGTTCAACTTCTTCATTTAAGTAGTTCAAAATTAATTATAAAATAACAAAAATTCTAGTCAGTGACTAATGTAAGTGACATCCTTTAAAATGAAATTAACTGGATGCATGAATATTTGCTCTTCGGTATCTGACACTCTCATAATATTMAATATTAAAATATCCCATGTCAGCATATTTCCAGGTGGRCATCTTCAGGGATACCATATTTTAACTTGTGATTTTCAAAAATATCATCCAGACCCTTTATATATTCTGCATGGAATTTGTTTATCTCTTCCTCAGTGGGATTTTGGACTTTGGGTACTTTGATTGGAGCTCCAACTGAAAAAATATCAAGATCATAAACTTTTAAACTTAGCTAATAAAAGATTATGATGACGATGATGATGATGAGTGGCAGTGGCATCTTGGTTGAGTAGTTATTCCAGTCCTAAAAATCAATATGGGATAATTTGCCATATGCTGTCTGACAAGTTAATCAAGGTAGCAGACTTACCAACTGTGTTAATGGGTTTTCTATGTGGTAAAATACCAAAAGTGTACTGGAATATTCCACGGCCATGAAATATGGGAGGTGCAAATCCCATAAAGTTTTTCATCTTTGTTTGCCAATTTCGTAAAGGGGATCCATTAGGATTATTTACTTGAGTATACAAGTCATTTTCCCCAAATGAGTACACTGGTACCAATGATGCCCTAGGATTATAAAACAGTTCAATAGTTTAGTTTTAGGTAAGAATTCGCAAAATCCTTTTAAGAGTATGATCTGCAGTCCATGATCTGATCTGGACTTTCAATTTAGTATTGCATACCAGTATGCATGTTACGTCATACACGTCACTGTCTCATCCGGACACAAGGGTCATGCTGGGTCGTGATATTATGTCTGGTACACGTCTGGGCTGAGTAAACTGTTGATTTTCTAACAAAAACAGTTGAAATATACATATCTTACCCATTTCTTAGAGCAATTCTAACAAATCCTTTTCTATTTTTTAGAGTAAGCTTGAAGTTTCCAGGATGAGCTTCTAAGGATTCGGCAGCACCACCGATTACTATGACAACAGCGTGACCTTTTCCCATCTTCTGTAAAATATGTTCTATGCTTTCTTTCTCGACGGTGCACACTCCAAAAGACATGTAGTAATCCCTAGTAAACGGGAAACTCAGGTTGCCAGCAAGGGTAAGAATATGAGGTGTGATCCCTGGGAACTTCTCCGAGAAGCCAGTGCCTTCACCACAGAAGTTCCCAATCGTTCCAAGGCTCATAATTCCGTGCGGATGTGATCCAAAGATATAGTTTTCTCTTGGATCCAATTCTTGCGTTCTTATCAGTTCAATAGGAAAGTACTCACAGAAATATTTCCAAATTCTTATGTGGCGAAACCAGGAAATTATACGGCCTCCGCGACTTGGTTGGTTGTAATTAATTACGTATGTCCATCCGAGGTAGAGCAGAGCAAAAAGCGTCGTGAAAGGGATAATCAGTAGGAAAAACAGAAAAGTACACCCGATAATATGACCAAAAAGAAAAGAATGAACTATAAGTATGACTGCTAGAGTTTGAATACGCCTTTTTAGTGGAATATTCACGGGAGCCCATTCTACCGGAGCCATCTTCTTCGCTCTGCTTCCTTCGAATAATCACGCTAGTGTTTCACGAGGTACTTATATTTATTTACCCTCTGAACACGAGGGCGGGGGGTGCTATTCAAGCCCTACCCTACCCAACAAATTAGTTTCATGTATACATTGCTGTAAAAACTTGCGGGTCTTAATTTTTATATATTTTTTCGAAACAAAAAAAATCATGAAAAAATTAATTACATTTAAGATTTGTTTAAAACACCTCTTGGAGTGATGTGTCCTTGAATATTGCCTGATCCAGTTGATTATACTTCCCCTACAAAGTAGATTATGCTGTAAGTGTCCCCCCCCTTCAAGAGTATGTTACAATGAATGTATGTTTCCTGATCAAAGTCCAACCAAAACACTTCAAATTTAACCTTTGAATAGTGATCTCTAACAACACAGCATGTACTTTCAGTCTTATTTTAAAAAGCAGGGATAAAGGAAAATGTAAAAGAAAGTGATTTCATAATACTGTGGTTTTACTTTTGCAATTTTTTTCCCAATCGTGATTTTTGATAATTTTCTAGCTTCACCAGTCACAATAGAGTACTGAAGTGAAGAGGTCACAAATAAATGCAGGAAATGCTGTATTGTCRAATATAAACATTAAAGACTGGGAATAGGACGTTTGCATGATGGCATCATTGACCTTTGCTACCAGACTCCCTTGCACACTTTCTTTTGTTCAGTTAATATTAGCACCAATAAGTCTTAATATTCTAATGAGGGGATACAAAGTTAAATAAGAAARGAAATTCGTGAAGGATCTTGGTAGTAGGAGTCAAATGATGCCATCATGGAAATTCATATTGCAAAATTTAGATTGTGATGTCAGACTTCAGTACAGTCAMAATGATCCAATAAATATTGCAAATGAATTTTCCACTAATCAAGAGCCCATCCCACACAGTTTACCGCCTCATCTCTCATGTCTATTTYATGTGTGAAGTTTGTGACATGTGGCCCAAGGTTCAAGTACCATTGTGTTCATGATTCTCCATTTAGAATATCTATAAATAAGACAGATGCACCTCAGTTTTGTAAAGTATGTGYAAGTTCTAAATATATGGATCTAAGATTTTGAGTAGGGAGGGGAGGGGTGGTGGAGGGTTCACAAAATCAAGATGCTTGTTTTTATCAATTAACAATATTTAATGTTTTTACTTACTAACCAATTCCAAGCTAAATTATCTGCCAATGTACATGTAACCGACAAGACAGTGTTAGGAATAAGGAATAACTGACATACTTTTGGAGATAACAGATGAATGAATACATTGAAGGGATAATGTTAGACCAGGAAATAGTGTTAAARCTGGCAGGAGTGTTTYATCAGGATTTAAAAACACAAGGCGTAGGCAGGTGTTTTTAGACCAGATAAAACACAATCTGTGAGTTTATTGAACRGCTTAGAAAACTCATGATGTATATTCTCATAGTGTACCGATTTCTTTACGAAATGAACCAAGTTTGATAGAGAAAATCCAAGTTAAAGTTTATGCAAATGAAGACAAATCTATATCAGATATAAAACCTCCTTCATGGTCATGAWTTCTATTGTTTTCCTCATGAATTATTCAGGAGTTTTCTAAGAGTTCATTATGTATTACCACTTGCACCAYAGCAAAATAAGATGGCATATTTTAATAAGATAATAATCATTGACAATCACCCAGCTGTAAAATTTGACAAAGAATGATTACTATGGTCAAAGTTTTATTCCTGTTTTTTATCATTGATCAGTTTAMAATGTAGTACAAGACATTCTACCTACAACAAATAGGTAAACCTTATCTTCTTTATACAGGATTGCTTTTTTTCTTTACTTAAGTTCCCAGCATTGGTTACATCTGGCTGGGAATGTTTGGATTTGGGGAAACAACTGGGCCAAGTCAGCATTGTAGTGAATTTTGGGATTGTTTTAGGGGATTAAATAGATGCCTCACCTAAAATAGTGAAACAATCCGCTGAAATGCCAGAGAGAGAACCAGTTTTTTAATCAACCATGGATGGCTAATATACTGCTTCATTTGACCTTAAAATCATTCTGATAATGGATGTAAAGCATATACATTGAACATCATCTAGCTTTAAAAGGGATATATGTAARTTAGATTAAGCTTCTATAGTAAAGGATAATAAATGTAAGTTGTTTTTTATGTTAGTTTATTTAATATTCATGTTTTATAAATCTTTTTTCTATTTTTTCTATTTTTAATGGAAATCTATTTTATAGATTTTCTAATTAACTTATTTATATATTTATATATTTATTTATTTAATCAATAGACAGTGTTCCCTTATAGGTTTTTAATTGTTGTTAAATGCCACCTCAGTATGACAATTAATAAAGATAACAATAATAATTATTWTTATCATATGGCAGRAATCAAATAAATTGTGCTTAGTTTAAATATCCTCAAATGAGGTAAAAAACATAAAACTACAAGTCTCATTATATTTATTTCCTATCCTACCTCATCTGGGGGTTTTCTTCCTTGAAATGCCATYCTTAAGGACTGTTATAGTAACAAGAAGTTTCATAGCAAGAAGCATTTATAATTTATCCATCTGGTTATAAAAAAGGAACATTTCACTAAAGCACCCAAAAAATACAGTTGGTGTGGTTTTAACAGGACCACAGGACCCCTTGACAAATATTTACTATACAAGTTAATAAAAAACTGGGCCACTTTTTAAACCAGACCACTATTCAAATGGTGGCTACAGCCCTGAGTCATAAACACTCCCTTCATACTACAATCTGTTTAAGATTTTGWTACATTTGAATTCCTGGTACGATACCTAGCATAAACACGCAAAAACAATGCAGTAAACACTACAATAACACCAAAAGCAGCTTGTGCTGAAATAGGATGATGGTAAAGAATACATGATATGATGATGCTTAGCATCATACGAGTGGTCATTATCATGGTGAAAACTACTGGGCCAAAGCACTGGATGGTATAGAAAATGAAAAGCTGCCCAGTTGCTGAACAAAATGATAGCAAGCACGCATGATATGCAAATGCTGGGTTGTTGTATGCAAATGATAAGGATGTAAAAAGGGATCCTCTTTGAAATAATGACCAAAAAGTCAAAATACTTGAGAARAAATTAGCACCCAGCATCATTTGCACTGATGACATCTTATAACTCTTAAAAAGTTCAGATTGCCAGTTTGAAGTAAAGCTATCAAAGAACATGTAACCTAACAAAATGATGGCACCTGACACTGTCGTTTCCGTTGCTGTCTTCTTAGAGCTGCCAGCTGAGAGTAAAAACAAACTGACTCCTACAGACAACATGACAGCTGTTAGRTACTCATAGTATGGATAAGTCTTCTTGGAAACTAACTTTCCCATTAACATCACTGGAATGACCTTTGATGCCTTACACAAAACTTGTGTAGGAAAACTGATAAACTTGAGTGCTTCATATTGACACCAACTACTTATGATATTGGACATAGATGAATATGAGTACTTGTAAATGGGAGCTTTGTGCTTTGGTTGTCTGGTAAGTAGAACATAAACCCCAGCAAAAAACATAGCWAGGAAACGGTTTATGAACACCAGAAACTGTGAATCCTTAAATTGGACCTCAACACTTGTTCCATCAGGCAGAACTTTGGTGTAAGATCTGGTCATAATTCGTTCCTGTAAAACACCCCAAATTACATAAGACCCTTGTAGTCCTGCCACACACACAAGTAGCCTGATTGCAGATTTTCSTAGTGATGGATCTGTCTCGCTCATTGTTTCTTCTTGCTTGCCACCTTCCTCCATTGTAGCATGAGGATCGTCAGGTGCACCAAATACAAAATGGTGGATTGTTCTTGCAAGAAATCCTTGAGCTGGAGAAATAAAAACATTGATTGAATAAAAATACAGTTTTTGTTTATATTTTTACTTTTGATGGTTGGCTATCAAATTAATATATTTAACAGTAAAAAAAACCTTAATGATTACCTTAACTGAAATGTWTAATTAGGAAGGAGATTATCGACTTTATTTAAAAAATTAAATACATTAAAAAGTTCAATGAAGTACCTCCTTTTTCCTTGAAGTTAGAGTGTTTAACCATTCGTATGAMGAAAGCAAAGGGAAGGACAACAGTAGCATAGCCAAGAATGTTCCACAGAAAGTTGAACACCCAGAAATCTCTGTTGTCTAACTTCGAGCTTTCATTGGTGGTCAAGCTTGCAGAAGCGATTGTACTTTCCCTATCTTCACCTAAACAAAGCGAGACCCAAACTGACAGCACAAGAAAAACAGCTATTATTCTTGCCTCCATTGATCAAAAAATCAGAAGAAATCTTGACAGTTGATATAATTGTGAAAATACGACTGATTTGAAGTTGAATCATCTACCAGAAACTGTAAAAGCAGACAGGATAATCGTCAAAGACCACTTATATCCTAAGCAATTAGAAACCATTCTTGCCACGTAGACTTTTTACTCTCTTCATGAATAAACAATCAAAATTATATCCATCCAACTTGAACCAAAATACTTCTCTTTGTCAAGTGAACATCAGACACTTCCCATTATGCTCTTTGTTTTTACACCACGTGGAAAAGCCACAGGAAGTCCAAATARGGAAACCTTATAAAATGATGGTCTTTTCTTTTTCAGTACAATAAGGAATTTTCAAGTTAATTTATTTACTTTATTGCCACCAAGGTGATTTTTAAATCTGTTAAAATCGAATTCGGTTGTTAGTTTTTTAGAGTTGTTTCCCCCCTGCTTTATAATGAATGAAAATAAAAGTGAAACTAACTGAATATAACCCAAAAAAGGAAAAGTGAAAGTGAATTTTTTTGCTTTATATGAGTCACTAGTTTTTCCAAGGAGGGCTTCGAAGCTGTTTTCGCACATCGAAGCGTGAAATAATTCTCTTATTCARAAGCAATAAGGCAAACTGTGTCTGTAGTCATGTCTCCGTCTCCGATRCTTGTAAATATCCGCAGAGAACCAGAAGACAACGGTCAACCGGACGACTTTGTGGTCATTGAAAACAGAAATCGAATTATGCTGTGTTTGCAAAAAATYCTGTCTCCTCTTATTTACCTTGGATATTCACTGGTACTCGTTTTTCATTTCATTGGTTGGGTCCTGTTTAGTGTATATGCTGTATACTGCTCCTTCACGCAGCATTCTACGACTCAGCGATGTCAAAACTTCGATTTATTTAGCCACCCTAAAGAACTAGAAGTCTGCTGGCAAGTCATAACAGGAATCAACGCCATCACATACATGATGGTTATCAGAAAACTGCACTACGCAGACGCGAGTTCTTTTTCTATGAGGGAACTTTTGAAAATTCCAAGATCTTCATGTCTTTTGCTCGTGGAACTGGCGATTGCTGTGAGTTACGAAACAGTGATGATTGTCCACGAAAAAGTTGCAAGTGCWAGAGCGATAGAACTAGGATTCATTTGGAGAAACATCTGCGTGACATCCTGGTTTTCTTCCTTAACTTCACCTATCCTCCAAGAGAAAAGAAGTACAAAGTGCATTTTTTTYCTACTTTGACGGTTTTCTTTCTGGATCAACTTATTATGGCGTGTCTGATGGCCTGCCACGTTCATTTTCGCATTACTGCTCTGGAAGCAAACCACAGTAACATCAACGCAGGCGATTTCTTTCACGGCCTAGTTACCATGATGACCATCTGTGGTGTGCTGACCTTGCATTCTTCTTTGTTGAAATTCTTTTGGAATAAGATTTGTGACAGTAACAAAAACTTGTTGCGAAAGGGACATATTTAGATGCGGACTCCAGTTAAGGACAAACATGAAAATTAGCTTGATAGTTGCTGCTTGGAGGAGTCAAACTCCATTGGCGGCACCCTATAACCTCGTGCCGCAGYTTTACAAGTTCATCGCATAGTTTCGTCGCGTCTAAAGCTACGGGCACACAGTGCAACATTGCGCGCAATATTGCAAGTGATCGAAGTCGCAAACGATCCTATTTCACAACATTGCCTGCAATATTRCGCACATTGTTGCTCCGTGTGTCTTCGCCTTAATCTTTTGCCATCATGGATCAAACTACTTATTTTCGGGTGAAGGTTCGTGGAGCTAATTGTCATGCTATATGTCATATGATACCATAGCATTGACTGAAACCCTATATCCATCTATCAGACTGTATGATACACATTTGTAGCCCGAATTGATATACTCAAAATAAAGCCATATTTCRCAACCACCAAGGAACAGAAATCATTACACTAATATTCTGGGAAAAGGAGAAATTATTACTTGCATATTATTAAACATAATACCGCTAGCTTATACCGTCAGTGATAGGACACTTCCGAGCACCTTAACATTGAAATCTTTCTTGAAAATCAGTTCTAGCTACAAGAGAATATCGTCAAATGTTACATGCATATCCTACTACTAACGAAATAGAAAAGAAAGGGAGAAAAGGATTGGAGAAAGAATGAAAGAAAAAGATGAACTATAATCCCAGAATGCCATGCAACGTTAAAATACCCACAATCCTWCGTGCGCTGAGTCATCTCTCAAAATAAAAACATGGCGGGATTTTTGTCCATCAAAATATTTGATTCTAGATTTTGATGATCTGGGACAGTAAATAACCTAATTTCAGTAATATGTCTTGGGCTGATACCTTGAAGCGATACGTGGAGAGGAAAAAGAACGAAAAAGCTGAAGGTTTGTCAATAAAATAGCAAAATATCTGGGAAAAAGTTTGACTTAGTTCACACCAGAAGTATATCTTGTTTTCTACCTTATAAATACGCTGGAAATTCTAATATTACCTTTTAATTCGCGATGCAGGGGCAACTAGTGCTTATCAAGACGGAAATTTGACGGAAACTGAATTATTTACCAAGTACTACACAGAATGGAAAGGCCATCCTAAAGGAAAGGGAAAAGGGAAAGACAAGACCTTCAATACCATTCCAAAATTCTACTATAAGGTAGAGTTGCACTGCTCTGATCTATATTAACACTGATATCAAAAAACCTGCAAATAAAGTACAAGATTAACAAGTTGATAACAGCTGTCAAGTCAGTGAATTATATTTACAAATTGTTGTTTTTCAACTGTCAATGAAACCAGATTAACAAAGCATAGTTTTAGGAGGGTAAAATCAGGGATACATCGTCAAGGCTACTCAACATCTTGCTCTGATTTGGTATTCAACGTAATCCAGTTTATGCTCTGTGTGTTTTAGTTTTAGTCTTTTTTTAGTGTTTTCAATTCTCAATATTGACACATTTTCCCTGGCTAGCCCACCTACCACTTAGGATTTAACCATTGATTGATAGATACATGTACATCACGCAGCTTGAACCTTAGAGATTTTTGTTATTCTTCCAGTTGCCATCAGAAGATGAAGTGCTACAACAAAAACTCAGGGAGGAATCAAGAGCTGTATTCCTTCAAAGAAAGAGTAGAGAACTTCTAGACAATGAAGAGCTGCAGGTCAGAAATTTGCTATATACATTATCAAGATTACTTCAATATACTGAACCAACTACATGTACAGAGTACATCGTAGTAAATTGCTAGAATAGGTTCCATTAATAATAAAATATGAGAAGAAAGACTTTCGCTATACAATATGACTATTTTTCCCCATGAGTAGGTCATTTATCAGGTCAGAGGTATGTTTGACCTGTCAGAACCCAAGTGTGCCTGCAGGTCAAATGTTCAGCCAAGGCAAATCATTAACCAATCAAATCACTTTTACTGGACAATCGTTCAATAACTGGTGCCTATTTTTAACCTTGCAATATATATATTTTTTTACCATGGTGATCAACCAAGACAAGGAGTTTTGGCGTCCTTCTCTAATTTTCTTTACATTTATTCATGTTCCAACCTATTTTAATCATGAAACTATAATACTGTAAAACAAATAAGTACCTGTGATTCATGTTTGTTTTATACTCTCATCTTTAGAATCTCTGGTTTCTTTTGGATAAGCACCACACTCCTCCAGTCTTAGGAGAGGAACAGGTAATCAGTTTGTCCATCAGTAACTGATGAAATTTACTGTATATCATCAAATGTTATTTCTTTTAAAAAATTTTCACACCCTGAAAATCTGAAAATCCCATACTGAAAAACTCATGCATATCAAGTCTTATACTATGCACATGTTAATTAACTGAGTTTGATTACTGAGCTCAGCGAGCAGACCTGTATGTTGGTTTTCTCCTGTGCTTTAAAGTGTTTTCTCTGGGTTATCCGGTTTTTGCTCCCTCCACAAAAATCAACTTCTAAATCTTAATTCAATCCATCAGTTGCCTTACCAAGTGGGTTGTAAAACCTGTAAGGCTTACCATCATACACCCTGGAATAGTAAATCCCATTAGTTTTTTTTGGGGGGGAGGGGTGGGGATGGGTCTATTTAGATAATCTCTCCTTTCCCCATCAAATGATTATTACAATTCTCTTTTACTTTTCAATTTTCAGATGATAAATTATGAAGATTTYTTGAATGTTTCTTCTCAAGCAGGAGTAAAATGCAGGTACATTAAATTATGAATATTATAGCAAATGAAGATAATTTTAAAATTAACTTGATTTTACAGAGTACACCAAGTAATTTATACTTACTTATATATCATTCTAACTGCAGACCATTCTTTACTGCTACTGTCTTCAGCAAGTTGTACCAGAGTGATCCTTTTGGAAGGTAGGAACTTATTATGTTATGGGCTTCCTGTGTTTGAATTACCACAGGTAGCTCATATATCCGATAGAAGTTTAATAAGCCATCATTTTATTTGCAGGATTTCAATCATGCAGTTTTTCAATTACGTTATGAGAAAAGGTAAAACACAAGTAGTTTATTCTGGGTATTGTAGTTGTTAGGGAAGGGTGGTACGTATAGCAGCAGTAGGTGGTGTAAAAGTAATAAGTATTATTTTTTCATATGTTTAGTATGGCTTCATCAAACGAGAATTGGATTAAGTCTTTACGATGTTGCTGGTCAGGGATACCTCAAAGAATCTGTAAGAACCTTTCATATGTTCTATAAATGATGTAGAGTATGAGTACTTTTTCGTGTGTCATTTGTTAGTATGTATTTTTACYTTCAAACAGGACCTGGAGAATTACATCCTTGAACTTATACCCACTCTTCCCCAGGTATGGTTATATGCATAATGTTTAATACTTTTCGTTTTTGTGAAAAATTTTTCTTCTCAAATCTAGAAGTTTTTCATGTAATATTTGACCCTGGAATATTATTTTTCTCAGTTGGATGGATTGGAAAAGTCATTCTATTCTTTTTATGTCTGTACTGCTGTCAGAAAGTTCTTTTTCTTCCTTGATCCTCTAAGGACTGGTGAGTACAATATACCCTTGATCATCTAAGCTCTAACTATATTTTTTTCTCAAATGATTATCATGGTGTTGACATTTTAAAATGATTCTGATTATATCAGGCAAGTTGACCGGATACTTTTGACAATGGTGATAACAGTGATGATGATGATGGTGATAATGTTGATTATATTGTTGTTAAGGAAAATTATGACCACATGAAATTTCTATTTCTAGGTAAAATAAAGATTCAGGATATCCTAGCTTGTAGTTTTCTAGATGATCTTCTTGAGGTATTTAACTATGGGTTTTTTATATTTTTGCTCTGAACTATTTGGTATTTGTGAGCTTTGGATCAGAGAACGACTACGAGTATGAGTTTGGACTTTACCTTTCAAATCTCGTAATTCTCTATGATGACTTTTTGCAAAATTCTTGTTGTTTACATAGAGACGGCAATGAGATTTTTAAGGTGGTGTGATACTAACCATCATGCTCTGGAACATGCATAGTATTTGAAAACATGTAAAAGGGTACTCTTATTATTTTGTTCTCTGATCTGAAGCTCACTATTACCTCTCGAAGAAGTACCATAAGAAAAATTAACTATAATCTTTATTATTCTTGATCCCTTCCTTCGTAAATGCCATTCCTACATCTGTAGTTATCTATCAGTTTATCTATCTACATGTCAAGTAACATGGTTTATGTCAACAGCTCAGGGATGAAGACCTGTCTAAAGAGCAACAAGATGCTAACTGGTTCTCTGCCCCATCAGCTCTAAGAGTTTATGGTTAGTCATATGTTACTGACTGAAAGTGGTTTCTCTTTATCACTGAATATGGATTGAAGTACTTATTAAGTTTTGTATTACTGGTTGCAGGTCAATATCTTAATCTAGATACAGATCATAATGGTATGCTAAGCAAAGACGAACTAGCCAAGTGAGACACTAATACTAGTATATTACTTCCTGCTTACACTCTATACATATGTATACTGTCCTTGCGGTAAACTCCAACATTTTTACCTAAATCTTTCGTGTTTTTCCAGGTATGGTTCTGGCACCTTGACTAAGGTCTTCATTGACAGGGTTTTCCAGGAATGCCTGACTTACGATGGTGAAATGGTATGGCTTTCCTTTCATCTTCTTTAACATGTGCTTTTAACTGGCATGTTTTGAATGTTATTCATAATAGTCAGTTAATCACCATGTAATTTTCTAAAAAAGTCTTTTTTCTTCTCTCAGGATTACAAAACATATTTAGATTTTGTCCTTGCCTTAGAAAACAGAAAAGAACCACAGGTGAGAGAAAAACTATGCTTCTATGTACGTATGGTTGATTAATTTTCAATATCCAAGCTTTCAGGGCACCTTGGCCAATCCTTAGGGATCAAATGAAATTATAAATCTCAAGTCACCCATCATTTAACAGAGACTCAGGAAAATATTTCCATGAAATTATCTTCCTCTTAATAAGAAACAGAGCATGTTCTATTATGATGATGCAGTTTTCCTAACATCATAATCAAACCAATATATTTTGACAGATGTTTTACATCGTTTTATTTTCCAGGCACTGCAGTATCTGTTTAAAATATTAGATGTAAAGGTAAGGTTGGAACCAAATAGTAGCAGGAGGAGGAAGGGAGAATGGAAGAGTGAAAGGAAAGCATAACATTGTATTTTTGTTCATTCTACAGGGTGTAGGTTACCTCAACATCTTCTCATTAAACTTCTTTTTCCGGGTGAGTTCAGCACCATGCCATGGGCTGGTATCAAGAGAGCAACAAAAACTAAAGTTTTGTTTTCTATATGAATTAGGCTATACAAGAAGACATGGTTAAACATGGTCATGAACCAGTAAAATTCTTAGACATTAAGGTGAGGAAATGACTTTCAAGATGGCTATTGTTCAGTTTAGTTACTTGGCAGCATTTTACTCTATGTCTTGGTTAATTGGTCTTATTGTTTGCTTTTCTAGGATGAAATATTTGATATGGTAAAACCAAAAGATCCTTATAAAATAAGTCTCCAAGACCTACTAAACAGGTGAGTCAGGTTACTCTGTATACATTACTTTATCTTGGGTACATACCCTGTAATCTGTCAACACACAGAAAGAATGGACAGCATCTTGCAGCTGACAGTATTTCTTGGGTTGTCACTCTTGTTAAGACCCAACACACATGCAGGGAGTGGGGACCATTTCATTTGAGGTGACTACATAGTTGTCTTGTTGCATACGTCATTGTTTTATTATATCCATATTCTTATTTTTCCACAGTTCTCAAGGAGAAACAGTAGCGAGCATTCTTATAGACTTGAATGGCTTTTGGACTTATGAAAATAGAGAACTCCTTGTACAAGAACCCATTGTAGATGACTGAAAATTCTCAATGTATAATACTGACAGTATGGACATGTGGAACTTTTATTACTGCAACTTACTCTCCTCTTGGCTGTAAAAGATAAGGTGATGAAGAGAGTCTAAGTTGAAACACCAGAGAGAAAAAACTAAACTAAAACCTTGCTAGGTGTGGGTACGAGAAAGTTGAACCTTTTTTATTTATGTTATATATTAAATAAACGCAGATGGTCAAGCTGGTTGTTAGTAGCATAACTTGATGATCATAAAATTACTGTACATTGTAAAAAAAGATATTCCAAATTGTATGAAACAAACTATACATCCTTCATCCCTAAACAAGAAAATATCAAGTATTTACATAATGGTGTTACTACCACTATATGACAGAGCGAGGCACTAAAGTATGACCATGTTTTTAGCTGCCAAACAAGCCTGTACATGCCTTATTTGGTAAAACCAGCCTGTTTTGCATCGAAATGTGTATGTTTAACATACAAAAACCTGTGCATAGAATTATGCAAATACTATATATCTGGTCATACTTTTGCCGTAAAAGGCACATCAGACTCTAGTAGTAGTAATGGTATGGACCAGTGGTATGACACCATCATAATTTATATTTCAATATTTGCAGTCAAGCATTGATTGATTGAAGGTCAGCTCCACTTGCTGTGAATAAACTCTGCCTCTTCCTTTAGTTCCTTGAAGCGACACTGAATAACATCTGTTATGTGTTTTCGTGCTTCAGTCTGGAAATTGTTCAACAATAAAAGTTAATAATGAATGGTGTTAGCTGTTGTTTTGTATTTAACCCCTTCCTTAAACATTCCACTAACAATTTAGACCCATTTTCATATTTGTGCAACCAGCCTAAGATGTCTGGAATTTTGGCTTCCTTTGATCAAAATATTATCATTGACCATTGGAAATTTAATTGATTAGCTAGCTGTCTGCTTCAGGTAATAATAATAATGGAAATGGTACGAGGTAAAATTGCCGGCAACAGTTTTGGGTTTAAAGACATCCAGTTCATTACAATCCTGATTTTATGGATAAACTTTCTTTATTACTTACAGCACTTTTCTTTCTTTTCTGATAATCCTTCAAAATGTCTTCAAACTTTATTGGTTCACCAACTAAAACTGTCACTTTCTGATTAAAGAAATAATTTCAAAAAATTTGTTCTTGTAAAGTTCAAAAACAGCACTCATCTGATATACCACCATGCTGGATTTGTTACTGTAACATGTTTATTGCAGGGAGTAATATTGCTCAGTCTCCCAAGACAGACACTCATTCAATACCACCAGATGAAATAGACCTCTACCTTGGGCGTAATGTTTCCCCATTTCAGACCACATGTCATTCCCTAGAGTATCATTTCTTTATTTAACAGTTGCACATGAGAAGATACATGAATATGGATATGAGTCAAACAAAGAATCTTATTCTTGAGAGAATTACTCCTCAGACATGCCAGAGCCAAATTATGATCTATCACAAATCCTGTACTCTGACTGGCTGAGCTACTGGTGGCCTATTTATGATAGACCAAAGAAAAGTGCTGATTTTGAAAAACCAAAACAGTGGTAGCTAATTCACATTTTCATCCTAAATCATGTCCAAATTTTTTGTCTAATATAATTGTTAATACATTGATACTCTTAATTGTACATACTAGTGTCTACTTACTTTCATTATTTGTGGGATGTATGGTTTTTGGTTAGGTAATATGTCATCCATACCTAATCAGAAAACAGAAAAAAAGTCACAAACAAAATTGTACTGACAGCAGCAGGGATGCAGGAGCCTGGGGGGAGGGCAATAGCCCTACTACATACCAACAGAAAAATACTGATACAAGTTGTATTTGCTATGCTAGACTATAACAATCAGATCAAGTTTGAAAATAATATCTTTAATTTCTAACTCTTGAAAATGTGAGAACCTTCATTTATTGTGGTCATCTGTTAACCTTGTTTTACGCACACATTTTTATTTTAGCCCTGGTCCCCCAAACCTAAAAATTATACTCCTATGTACATCCCTGAACAGACATGCCAGTCTATATGATATGCTTTGGAATACTTTACGTTTATCTCATTTGCACACATTTTTATTTTATTCACGCACACATTTTTATTTTAGCCCTGGTCCCCCAAACCTAAAAATTATACTCCTATGTACATCCCTGAACAGACATGCGAGTCTATATGATATGCTTTGGAATACTTTACGTTTATCTCATTTGAATTCTCTTACCTACGTGCCATAAGGGTAATACTATTGGTGTAACTTTTGACTCTGCAATCAATCTACCAACACCTGAGAACGATATACTATTACCATCAATAATTCAACAGATACCATTGGATGGATATATTACAATGTGAGTTCATAAACAATATACAAAGAAAATTCTAAACTAACCCCACTTTAGTCGAACAAGAGAACCATCCTCAATAACCTTTCCTAAAGATGAAAGAAAATTCTTAAATAACCTGTTAGGTGGTCTAAATTTCCCCCATCTCCCCTCATCATGAGTTTTAATAACTTAGGTACTTTTGTAATGTCTGTACATGCTTTAGTCTGTTATTATGTTACACTACCTTCTGGGAAAACATGGACCCACTGGCCCTGGTTGAGCTGTTCTAAAGCAAAATCCACTCCCTTTTGATAAACACCTTCACCTGAAAAATAATAACCCATATTCTATACATCACAGCTAAAAATAATGTCCAGTCATTAGACAATGTCCAACCAAAATTGGAACATGTCTGGTCAAATCCTGTCTGTCTGGCTGTAAACAGGGTTCGTGCCACTCCTTGAAATCCTTGAAAAGCCCTGGAATTGAAAACACGTTTTTAAGGGCACTTGAAAAGCCCTTGAAAATAGGGAAAAACGCCAAAGCTCCTGGAATACTCTTTGAATTTAATGCAAACTTAATGTTATTTCTAACTTTCCTTTAAAATAAATAATGATTAAAATTGATTTAAGAGTTTCTGTGTGCTTGTTTACTGGTTGGTTCGTGTCATGATCATTTTTTATTGGTRGACGTGGCCCCGGCTGAATTAGCTGCACTGTCCTGCACTGCAACATTGAATCAATGTTTAAACCACGTTCTAATACAAAAAAACTTTGTCCTTGAAAATCTAGTTTTTGTGCTTGAAAAGTGCTTAAGAAGTGCTTGAATTTTGTAACGAAAATGTAGCACGAACCCTGTGTAAATTGCACCATGAATGCTAAGAATAACATATGGCCAATATTGCCAGACATGATGGCATGCCTCCTCAGACTGATCACCAGATGACCAGTAATGTGACTGGTCAACAGGACTGGTCTAAGAGGTGTTTAGCTAGTGCCAGACATTGTCCATTGATCAGCTGTTATTTTTTGCACTGCAACCCAACTACCCATCAAATAAATGAGTGTAATGTGAACCATATTATGATGAATATGAACGCACTATTACAAAGATGCATCATTACTTACCTCTCACTACTGGTATTACCTAAAAAGAAAAATATTTCTTTTTAATCCATGGAAGGGTCATTGACTGAGGTAGTTTGGTCTGGGTAAGGGACATCTTGGACAAGTTCTGTTTTACATTCATATAGATCCCAGAGCCAAGAAGGACAACATCAGTACCCCATTCACTGTTCCATTTTCTGCTATATCCAACAAGTTCAAGCCCTTAGTTTATCTCTGAATCTAAACTCTGATTACAAGTCTGAAATGCCTGCTGGTCCACACTACATTATCCAACCAACCAGATAACAAATTGCTCTTTTTTATCATCTTAACAAGCTTGATGTCTTTCTTTGATATTTTTCTTAAAACAAAAAGCCAGAAGAAGAAAATAGAAAGTATTTGTGGTACCTTTCCTCTGCTAAATAAAAATGCATGCAATGGTTTGCTGAATAATAACTCTTTGGCTCCTAATGTCCTGAAATTAGCAGGAAAATTGAGTTACAGAAAGTAAGTATTTGAGCTCAGTTTTTGTGACTATTATTTATTTAAAACAATATGTGAAAATATACTAACAAATTTCAAGCTTGCGCTCCCTTTGTTCAAGTTATCTTTCAAACTTACCATCTTTGTTTTTCTCTACTAAAAAGCACCTTCAGTTTTAATATTCCTGTTTTCAAAGAAAAACACAGCTCTTTCAAAAACAGGTTGACCCTCTTAGGACCATTCATTTTTTACTGGGAAAGGGGAAACGGGGGTCAGTAGTAATAAAAAAACAGAGATCATAGGGGTGTTGGCTACATAAAACATGGATTAATGAATAACATACATTCATACATACCCCACATGAGAGGATCATCTAAACATGAATAATGATTGGATACAGTGACTAGTGGTACACCATCAGGACGATCAGCTGTACACTGGTCTAGTGTGATCTGATTATGAACTCTTACAGTATTCAGCCACTCTATAACATCAAAATAATTGAAAACATGAAATCCTCACATGAAAGTTGCACATGTATTTATCAAGCTTTTCGATCACTCTACGTAAAAAATAAGCGTCGCTGAAGTGTCATTTCATCAGTGATGGAAAGATAAGCTTAGTAAGCTTAGTAAGCTAGTACTACAACCATTGGATAAAGAAATGACTTGTGCTTTTGCTATCCGTGTTACAACGGAACTCCTTTCATGACAAAGATATTGATGTAGCTGTTTAAATGTCTATTCATATTAGAAAATTAACTAAATCGAAAACTCACTCAGCCACAGATTACTCGCTCCTCCAACCGCGGCAACAATCACTGAACTTTCTATCTTCCAAGAAATTTTCTCCATGGCCACACGACAGAAAGGCCATGATGTTGTTAAACACATCTTCTTTATCCAGTAAAGATTAACTATGAAGTCAGATCTTTCATGTTATTATTGATTATTTTTTCGTTTAAATATTCGTCACTTAATCCGTCCGCCATTTTGAATTTGTGATGATTACCGCTGGACGTGCTGATGTGCATATGTACACAGGAACCCCATAACCCATACATCACAAAAACGCTTTTAGAAGCCGTGGAACTGACCGGTGTGCCTAGCAAGCAACCCGATCTTAGACAGATTTTTCTTTCATTTAATAACCAGTAAGGTTTCAGGTGTAATTCATACTATTAAATTTGTTACGCGCAACCCTGTCCGAGTTAAACAGCTACGGTTCAATTTGGTGGTTCCGTGCCTTGATTATCCGGAATTATTATCTTTCCCACCCAGTTCCCCTACCCTCCCCATCTCCTACTCTATCTCCCCTACCTTTCAATCCCAGCACAAGGACCTGCTACGCGTATGCTCATATGCATGTGGAATGTGAAATGTGTGAAAAGTGGTAATGGACCATCTCCTTTGTCGATCCCCACACCCTCCCCTAAGTAATGACAAATAATCTTTCCCTATGGAAAAGACTTTTGATAGAATATATGACGCGAAATTTGAAAATGTAAAAAAGGTTTTATTCTTGCTCAATTCAATTTAAGCTCTCATATTAAAAATCTATGATATTTTCGAATATGATAATTTAAGGTTAAGCAAGCTAAAATTAAAAATAAAGTTTTTTAAAGTATAGATATCACAAAAATTAATTTACTTGCTTTGTAGCCGTAAAGATAATATAATAACGTCATTAATACTTTTTGGCAATATTGAGTTTATATATAAAATATTTTCATGCAATTTACATTACTTTAGCTACCTTAACTTTTCTACGTCGATTATAATAATGTTTTGTTTCCCTTTATCATWTCTGTTTGCCGACATGAATCCTGTCAAGCCCAACCAATTCATCGATTGTCTGTTTAGCTTTTCCATATTCTTGTTCAGTGAAGTATTTCTTCAGGACAGGATCAAAATTGAGACACGATATATTGTCCGCAGTTCTGGCGAGAGTCAGCAGGGCTCTGACGTAACTACTGGGTTTTGCACCTTCCAATGCTACCGCACGAATGTCTTGGACCAACTCTTTCTCCACTTCTAAAACAAGTGAAAAATAATGCGTAAACATGAGGATTAATAAGACACCGCTTGCATGCATTGGCTAGCTGCCTTCGTCTCCATAGCAACACAAGTGCTTTGTTATATAAAATGAATGTAAGAAAAAATGTCTACATGTCAAAGAGAATTGCGCGTAAAAAAATTCAGATATTTTCAGAAACCTGGAGCTCAATTTACAGTAAGGCTCTGTAACAGAAATATAAGAGGCACTCTAAATTGTTTATAAATAAAGAAATCACGTATAACAACCTGAGTTTGCTGTTGGGTACTTGCGACTGCCACAAAATCCCGTTTCCATCAAGAGGATCCCCCTTAGTACCATACTGCCTAGTGCTCTGGTGGCACAGCGTTGATTGGCATCTTTTTGACTGATGTCTTCATAGATCAAGTCCTTTACATAATGAGGCTTCTTGGGATATTCATTGCACTGGTTCACGATTTTGTCAAGCATGGCAGCGTCTAGATAATTACCACATCGTTCGTCTGAACGAAGCTGAAAACAAATTAAACAGAATGGTTATTTATTTTTTATTTGTTTATCTGGTAAATGTTTAAAGCATCTTCCGTATGACTGTGAAAACCAGGAAATATYCATCGATGCCAATAGTTTTCATAGTGAAACACGATCGTGGAACTATACTGCTATAAATGGGAGGGTGGGGTGGGGTGGGGTGGGGATCTCCCCTCCCCCTCCCCCTACGCCATTGTCATGACACCAACCTTTAAGACAAGGGAATCCTGTTTCACTTCTGTAGATGCATCAGCTTCCAGTTCACCCTTACCCAACACTACTAGATCAACTACCACCGCTGCTGTTGCACCTGCATTTGACTCAGTTCCACATTGTCTTCCACAAACATCTCCATTCTTAGTATCTTGCCACAACAGGCAGTACCCTTCAGACAAGGTCAGTTTATACTGACGAATATCTTCTTTGTTAAAGTAGCTGGAGTTGACAGTTTCCAAGACTGCCCCGGCCAATTCTTGCGCTGCTTCCATTGTACTTGTTGTTCCTGTGATTCTCAAACTATGTTTCTAATGGCCTTCATTCTCATATTTACTCGCATTTATATTGCCATTCAATGTTAATCTTATCCTATGAGGTAATGTTCATTACATCATGGGTTTAAGTATAACGAACGATATTGATAATGGTCATTTGTTGTATCATGTTCGATGATGCAATACGCATACTAAATGATTTTAATTTTCAGGTGCACTTGAAAAAAGTCGATAAAACCCGAAACTGCTCAAAAATAGGAAATGAAAATAAGGTTGAATTATACAATACTATAGTCAACATCATTGAAAAGAATGTTAAACGAAAACACAAATCCCTGGGGTACTGAAATGATAAAGTCTTTTTACGTGACAACCTCACCAGGCTGTTTTCATGGTTGGAGAGTACGGATGACGTTGAAGAGGACATTCAACTTTATCAAATCATGGGGGGAGGTATGGGGGGTGGTGTGTAATGATTTCGATCCTATATAAATACTGTGTTTCTGTACTTCCCCTCCCCCCTAAGCTGTACGAGGCTGAATGGTTCTTACGTGGACTGATTTGAAACAGTTGCATGACTGAACTAAACTCGGAAGTATGTGACGTCAGTAAGTGTATTCATCGCTTTTTTTCTTCATTTTTTGCCATGCATACTCAGCTGTTTGCCAAAAAGTCGTTCACTCTAAATATAGTACATTGTTATATAGAAACCAAGTGAATTGGAAAAAAAAATACTAAAAGAGCTTCAGAATCTAAAAAACATTTCCTTTCGATTTTTGATAACGAAAACCTGCGGGATAGAATTATAGAGCTAGGGGTAGAACGATTGGATAATACTTATCTAATTGAAAAATGTCCCTAAATTGCTCAAATTTGGTTAGTTTCCCTTGTAGCTCGCCCGTGATTTATTACCATTAAACCGACAAGACATTACTCCGACGAAGGACTAACGTCGGAAACGTCAGTAAGTTTTTTCATCTTTTCACGGTGTATRATTTACACTTTTATCATTACTATTTCATTAGAAACACCGACGCAACTCACACTAGTTTTTAGCTAGTTATCTCTTCTCGACAAGACATTACCCGTGCTTGCAAAAGTCTTTTTTCGCTCAGCCCTACGGTCAGTTTTGAGTTTCTTTGCAAAAAAAATGCAGTAAACAGATTCTATAGTCATACTTTCCCTGAAAACGGGGAGCAAAGGGGGGAAATTTACAATTTATATTATTTACAAAACATGACACACAAAAGTAATGTGAATAATATACTGATCGTACGACTTGATAAAGGAACGCTGACACTTTCAAAACTGACAATTAAGAAAACCGAAAAACACTAGACACTAACACTCAATATTAGTGGCATACTTTAGAATATTGCATTATCATCGATGTTGAGTTTACGGTACCGTCAGTAACACATATACATATAATAAACAAAATGCATCAAAGTTTTTCAACACATTTACGTGCTCATGAACCATGATGAATAACGTGGTGTCGATATTTTTAACTGAAAATCAAGAGGCTAAATGTAGTCTTTTTCTGCTCTCATCAAGGACTCAAGGTCAAGAACATTGGTAAAATTAATTATCTTTTTCCAATAACGTCTTTAACATTCATTCGTCATTTTCATTTCAATTAATTAATATCACGCTCTCTTGTTTAAAATATCTATATTTAAAAAATATTACGTAACCAAAGGAAGCCCGCTCATAAGAAGAAAGTTAGGATACACCTACTTTTTGCGCCGTTTTTCTTGTCAAATTTTATTGGACTACAATCCCAACCATGATTAGAGCATTTTTTACTTTCTTAAACAAAGTCAGACACTTTATTAAAACAAAAGCAGAAAGATGAATAAAATAACAAAAATAATTACATTCTTGTTTAAAACTCTTTTAACCTTCAGAAAAAATGTCATTCTTTTCCCACAGAACACTTTTATCATGCCTAATGGAAAGGGTCACAGGTAATCTAGGACTCTCTGTCTACAACAATGCATAATTTACATTATTTTAATGTTAAAACATTTTATAAAATATTATTCATTCAAATCTTAGTTATGTTAAAATTCAGATTTTCGTGATGTGGGATGAAAAATATTTGTAAACCATGTGGATATCCTGTTGATACCATCTTTTACCATCTGCCAAAAACTAACTCCTCCACCAGCATATAACAAGCCTTCATCATCTATCGGCAGCTCTTTTTGTTCTCCCTTTTSTTGCTGTTCCATTTGTTCTTTAGCTTTTTCTATATCCTCACGAGAATACATTTCCATCCCAGGCATTCCAGGCATTCCACTGTAAATTAGGACAGGTCACTTTGATTAGTTTACCACATGAAATAAGAAGTATGAATAATTTATGGTGCTACACAATATATCTTATTTAGCCCCTCCCCACCCCTTCAAATTTTAATCTTTAGCCTCAAAAACATTTTWAAACTATTTCAGGTACGTATTTTACCTCATCTGCTTCATAACTGCATCAGCTTTTCGTTCATCTTCAGTCATAGGAACAAACTCTTCATCTTCCCTGTCTGCCTTTATCTTTTTAGTTTTCTTCCCACATGATTTTGTCATTGAATAACAATATTTGTTAATCAATTTTGAGAGGGTCAGTTTGTTTTGCCATAACAATTCAGCAAGATCAGTATCAGCTTCCCCAATAGATTCTTCACATGCTTTAGCAATAGTCTGGCATTCTCTTCTACATCTCCCATAGTCTTTTTGCTCCTCAAGATGTAGTTTACTGTCACGTGGAACAATGTCAAACTTTGTAATCCATTCACCTTCTTGTTTACCTGGATCACAGGTTTTTTCCACCAGTTCAATTATTTTGTCTTCCTCTAGCTACATCATGAATATAAATGACAGGTAAGAGGAAGCTTTTTATTCTTTTCATTCTAGAGAAAGCAGCAGTGATAGACATTGATATATTTTTAAAATAATCAATTCATGAAATAAATAGATATTGAAATAACAAATATGTATCTTTGAAAATTAGACAAATTTGCCAAAACATGAATTACAATTTAATTCTTAATAAAGACAAAATTGCACTCCATCTAAATGACATTCAAAGAATAATTTGCTTCTGATCTAGGAAGGGGTTAACTCGTTGCCTAGAAACCATAAAAATAATTCCAAAAATTAAGAATAAAAAATTGTTTAGATAAAGGAGAAAAAGAATAGGAATAAAGTTCTTAACCCTAAGGGCAGTTTTTACAGTTCCATAACGGATGTTTTGTATAAGTTCTTTCTATAGACCCAGTTTCTTTGTTTTCACCTGCAGCCCGACGCCAGTGTACAAGAAAAGCGGAGATTAAAAAGATGACTATTCACCCTGTCAGTAATACTGTAATTAGGAACAACACTAAGCCAATCCAAGTGCTGTAAAGAATTAATCGAAATCGAAATAGCAAAGTTTTAATCTGTATCGCATATTTTTGGTCTCCTACAAATTAAGTTTGACTCGTATGGTTAACCACTGAGGCATTGAGAAGCACGCCAGCTGGCGAAGCAAAACATAAAAATCTACTCTCTTGACATTTTATTTCATTGAAAGATATTGCTGAAAAATCAGTTACAGAGGGTTATTTTTGAATGCTAAAACACACAAAGTCGTTGTTTGAATAAGAATTACGATATCAAAATACGGTACAGAATTAATGTCGGTAAATAAAGTTACTGTGAAGATTTGATCGCAACTCCATTATGCATGGTATTAAAACCAACCAAATATACAGCATATATTTATTCCTAGTTCCAATCTTAGTTAATAAAGAATATAAGTTCGATTTGGATTCAATGAGAAGAGAAGAATAATAAGACCTGCATAAGGAAAAAATTAAAGATTACTCAAGCTTATTTTATATAGTACGCGTGATTTTAAAATGTGGCTACTACACATTAAGTAGTTGTTACAGTTTAAAGCTGTTTCAATTTTCAAGTGAGTGACTATATTAACATGTAATGAAAATTGTGGAAATTCCATGTAAAAGAAATTTAGCTTGAGTTGAAGTAATCTTAGCTTAAATAAACTTTAACATTATTATTTACTACAATGCGAACATAAAATATAAAAACAAATAGCATACATATTGTGATACATCATTGTGAAACATAAGAGAGTAGGCGCAAAAATTCTCAATTAAATAATACCTTTTTAGTTGGACTGTCGTCTCTCATCTCTTGAGTTTTGAGGTTTAAATATTTGATTGCTTTTTGGCAAGTTTCGCATCGTACGTGTGCCACATCTTCCTTCACTGCGTGGAATTTCTCTTTCTTTGGAAACTGTGCAAGGCATAACGAGTATGAAAATATAAGAGAAGCTACTATAAAAACAGCTAAACAAGAGTATAGGTGACCTGGAGCCATGATTGAATAAATACTATAGTGATGAGGAACGATCAATATTATGTGTTAGCGTGGCTCAGTCAAAAAAAAATTATGGCATAATTAGAATCAAACAGGCGTTGCGCGTCGTGTTCAATTTGACAGAGCACACCTGAGAACTAAATAAAATGTGATCACATGATTGGATCGGACCAATCAGAGTCAGGCAAGAAGATGTTGAATGAACGTATTTTTTCCGCCATTGAACAGAGTGAGGTGAAGTGATGTGAAAAGAAGTGTTATTTTTCGTATTTTTACTGTCGAAATACAAGACAAGAGCAGATCATCAGGTAGGTTATTCATCCAGGTAGGGTTCTACCAAATTTAAGACTATTAATTTCGAATTAACCTGTACAAAGACTCGTTTATTTGCAGTCAGAGAAGAAGAAGAAGAGCCCTAACAGTGTTTCAGCCAGTTGACCATGATTGATCCTGGTTACATCCCTGAAGATCTCACTCAATACTTACTGAATTACTCTGGCAATGAAGAGGAGCATAACAGCTGTGATGATACACAGCTATGTGAAGTAGATTCAAATAACTATGAGAGTATCTTCATCCCACCATATGTCAAAACCCCAAGAGAACTTCACCCCAATCAAGACGATCAAGAAAGCTTTCAAGATTCTGGGATGTCTGAAGATGAAAGTGATAGTGACCTTTCTCCACTTCAGAACAAAACTAAGGAAAACATTCACAATGCACCAAATTCTAGTAAATTGAAATCAGCCAAGAAAAAATCAAAACCTCAGCAAAAAACTAGAAAGAACTTGAAGTCCAACAGTGACTGCGGTAGTGTTAAATCAGACAAGAATAAAAAAGCTGTAACTAAGAGTAGTAAGAAAAAAAAAGATGTAACCTCAGAAGATACACTAGGTTCCAATGCTTCCGGCAAAATAAGTGCTAAAAAACGACCATTGTCAKATGAGGCTAAAGGTAATTCTCCTCCAAATCCATCCAAAAAGAAAAAGAAAACAAATGAGGATTCAGATGAAATAGATAGAGTGCCAAGTGCTTGTCCAAACCAAGACACAGGAAACTCAATCGCCATGGAGATTTTTGGGGATGTTAGCTCTTCTGAAGATGAACATGAGGTTATTCCAAAAAGTAATGACAACACTTCAACTTGTCAAGTAATTGTGAATAATTGCCAAGCTGATGTAGATGAGATTTCAAAGAATTTCCAAGCAACAGCAGATGGATCAGATGATAACAAGGTAGAAAATACCTCCTCTACAGATAACAAGGAGCCATCAAGTAAGATAACATCAATCTCTATTGACAGCTCGTCATCAGAAGGAACAGAAAATAAGAGGGGAAAAAAATCAACCTCTAAAGCTAAAAAGATTTGTACTATCCCGACTGAAGATACACAGGATGGCAGTTTTCTCTTTGATCCCAGTGAGGAAATGGTTACTTATTTGCAAAAAAATAAAAACAAAAATATTTCACGGCGAGTTCATAATAAATCTAGTAACAGCTCAAAACCTAAGGGGAGTGGTGCTCATAAACCTGTATCATCCAAAAAGACTACAATAAAAGATGCGAGTGAGCATAGTAGTTCTGTGATGAAGGATGCTCAAAAAAAAAATTCTCAATCTCCTCGAGGGAAAAAAGTCACTTCACAGAGAGGCAAAACTCCTAAGAAATCAGCAACCACAAATGATAGTGATGGTAAGAGTACTCTGTGCCCTAAGAAGAATACTTTAGTCAAGTCATCTCCAAATAGTTCAAATGCTACACCTGCTACAGCTGCTGAAAGGCATAAGTGGTATAGAGAAAAGAGGAAGAAATATTTCGAAGACCTTGAGAAGGAAGTGGAAAGTTTGAGGACAGAAAATGAGAGCCTTAAAAGGAATTTGAAAGTCAATAGTTTTGATCAAAACATGAATAACAATAATGACAATATAAGTGATAAAGAGATGGGTTCACATACTAATGACTTGGAATACAACAAAGGTAACTTGCAAGCAGAGAAGAAGAATCACAAAAATACAAAGGAAATGAGTCTCTTCATTCAAGATCTGAAGGAGGAAATACGACAGTTACAGAGGGAGAATGAAAACCTTATCAGTGTAGAAGACATGGAGTCAATTGTTGATGATTTGAAGGAACAAATAAGTCAGTTAAAGAAGCAGAAGAATGTTCTAGAAATGAAGGAAAAAGAAGCAGACTCACTTGTCTGTAGTTTAAGGCAAGAACTTGGCCAGCTGAAGAAACAAAATGAAGGGTTAAAAACCCAGAAGTTGACTGTCAAAGATTTCAAGGACAAAATACCTCCATTGGAAAAAGAAAGGAATGAACTGAAAAGCGAGGTAAAAGAGATGGAATTGTTTATCGAAGATCTGAAAAAAGATATAAAAGATTTGACTGATGAGAAAGAAGGATTTATGACAAGTAGCAAAGAAATGAATTTGCTGGTAAATAAGTTAAAAGAAGAAATAGAAACTTTGAAAAAGAACAAAGATGATCTTGTAAAGAATGAAGAAGAGATGAATTTGAATCTAAAAGAATTGAGAGAAAAATTGAATGGATTGAAGGAACAAAACAATGATCATGTAAACATTGCCAGAGAAACAGACTCCGTCTTAAAATCTCTGAGAGAAGAATTGGTTGAAATGAAAACAGAGAAGGCAGTTGGTGAAGGCAATGTTAGAGAAATGGAATCTACAATTAACACCTTGAAATGTGAAATTAGTGTATTAGAGAAAGAGAAGAAAGAACAAAAGACCAATTTTGAGAATATGGAAAAAGAAAAAATGAGTTATCAAAACAGTTTCATGGAGATGGATTCAGTGATCAGAAGCTTGAAGTGTGAAATTGGTAAATTAGAAAAAGAAAGAGAAACCAATCAAAGCAATGCAAAGGAATTGGAAAGTATGATTAACAATTTGAATTGTGAAATAGACAATTTGAAGACAGAGAAAGATGTCCTGGAGAAGAAACGAAAGGAAATGGAGTCACTCATCGAAGGTTTAACAAATGAAAATATTGATTTAAAGAATAAAGTGAAGAATAAGGATGATTCATTTGCRCAGGAACTGGAAGGAAAATCTGGTCAACTATTGACGAATAACGAACAAACTGTTAGATTTCTAAGTGAAGAAGCTCCACATTCAAAGAACACTGACATTATTGGCAGAAAAGTGAGCAGTTTTTCTGAAGAACTGGAGCAACTGCGAAAAGAGAAGGAAGAGTTAAAGCAAAATACTGGAAAGTTGGACTTAATTCTACGAGATATGAAAAATGAATTTGGTGAATTGAAAAATGAGAAGGAAAAAAGTAAAAAAAGCTCTGAAGAAATGGTCACAATGGTGCAAAGTATGAAAGAAGATTTGGACAAACTAAAAAGCAAAGAAAAGGATATATGTGATGATGTAGAAGAAGATCATTCAAGGAAAGATAAAAGACACTGTTTAACAGCTGAAGACATGTCACATTTTGTTAAAGACTTGAAAGATGAGATAGGATATCTAAAGGGATTGATAATAAGCCAAAGTGAACTGTCAGCTCTTGTGAAGCATGTTGGTACTTTTCCAGGATTTGAATCAAGTGAAGAACAAGTCAGTGGTAAAAGGAAACTGGATTGTGTAAGTGATGAAACTGGCAATGAAAACAAGCTGCAAAAATCAGGTAATGGTCAAAGTACAGTTAAGCCAGGTGGGGTTTGCCTACACATTAACAATGGTAAGATGTCGGTAGAGTTTTGCAGTACTTGCAGTAGGAGTTCAAGTTCCTAGTTTGATCCTCATATCAAACGTCATTGCTAAACAGGTAAAAAGGCCTTGAATACAGGTTAATATCAAGTGTCTATAGACTGGTAAGAATACAGAGTTTAACAATACAATACTGGTTGAAAAGACTTCAACAGTTTGTATGTAGTACGACTGAGCTAGATGGTGAAGTATGATGATCTTCCAAGCTACTGTGCTAGAATATTAAAGCTACTACAACACAAACTAACATATCCAGTAATTAATAATTAATAGTGGTTAGTTTATGACATAAAGTTCAATTTTTTTCCTCTTTCYAGTATGACACAAACATTTTCCAAGTTGTCTGTCATTTCAGGTCATCTTTCTGACTAAATCCTGGTTGGACTTTGGCCTTCATATTTCCCCCTAGGGTTAGTATATTCCCCTTTGATTCTCTCCCATTCTTTTTTGGTGACATACAGGTCCTAACAGACTCTTCATATTTTTTACTTAGTTATGGATGCTTTTGACTCCTTGCACCTCCCGGAGTCAAGTATCAGCTCAAAACCTGAGTTAAAAATGCTCTATTTCCCCTTGTATCTGTAAGTATGTTATTGAAGGGGAAATCAGGTAAAGTCTAATAAGTCACTCACATTTTGCTTCAGAAAATATTTTTTTCTAAACGTTAAATAATTTGTGTTGAGAAGCTATGAAAATGCAGCATCTGTTTTTTGTCCAGCTGCACCAAAAAGAGATTTTAGGAGCATTCAATTGGAGAAATGAAAACTTTAACTGTAACTAGAGTGCATCCATGTTGTAAGATTTTATATAGAAACTTGTCTAACAGCACTGGTGCACACTAATCAATAGGTAATCAAAGCTTTTGTCTATCACTAAATCTGCTGATTTATAACTYAAAATGCAGTCATGCCAAAATCACACATCTCTGATAATAAATTTTATTGAAGTAACATAATTAGTAACTAATTAGTCATTGCAACTGCAATGGTCTCACTTTCCAGACAATATTCATGATGCCAAAAGACTTACTTGAACAGTGTTAGCTGATAAAAATAAAACTGTCAATTGACTTGTCTTTCCAGTTGGGTTGAGAAGCGATATTTGGTTTAACAAAAATAAAAATATTGTAAAAACTATTATTGTGTTGATCTGTTACTGTGCAGAGGGGAGGTTGTGTGCCAACATTTTAAAATGGTTTGTAAGTTTCCCTTTCCCTCTCCCAAGTGTCTCTAGGTGAACACACATTCTTGCCATCAATAGTCCTCCTAGAGTACCCCTCCAGTGGCTATTCCTTCTATGCACCATGTCTATATATAAGCCAAAACAATGTAATAAATTGTGTTCTTTCCGTAAAATCGACTTAAAACGAGTTTTCACACCATTAATTGGATAATCATATTCAAGTTTCTTCAGTTTTCTCAGTGAAGTTTGAACAGCCTGTTGGTCAAGTGCATATCATCTACACCCCTGAAAAAGAGAAACATCAAAGGTTACACAAAAAGGGCAGGGAAAACAGATCTTTATACATAATTTCCCAAAATTAAAAATAACGTTTTCAGTTTTGTGAAATATTGTGTTTGATAAGAAATTTGAGATGCGTTTGGCCTTGCGTTGTGCAACATGGCGGACAGTAATAAGAGTAAACAATGTAAGCTTCGGTAAACACTAATGCTCTTTTGGCGATCTAAATTAGCACTTATTAAAGAACAGTAAAAGGCCTCTTTGCTTCAATTGTAAGGGTGTTTGAAGTTGTTAAATCGTTGACTTACCGAGTCATTGGGCTGTTAATATGGGGAAACTTTTTCTCTGTTAAATGCTTGAATTTCGAATCTGTTGGCATCTCAGTTCCCCATCTTGGAGCGATGACTCTGTTTGGGATTCCTCTAGAAGGTAAGATCTGACGAAGTGTGGACCACTCTTCACACCTTGTTGCTTGGGTTGAGGGATACCATTTCTCTTCCTCGAAATATCGGGAGAAAGTCTTCAGAGAAGGTTCGACATCTTTTTTCCAGTGTGATGGAATGGCGCTTTCTCTACTAGGCTTTTGTTCTAAGACGAACTTTGATCGCGGGACTGGAGCACTGCTTCTTAGATCCGTTGGATTGTAGCGTTTATTTACCCAAACTACTTCGCTTTTCGTGGGATGGATCTGACCTTTCTTATAGCCATAAAGAAATCCTCCTAGCGATTCTGCAGCCATAGTTCTAAAGATATTATTGAACGCAAATTTGTAAAATTCTTTAGAATCTGCGCTAGACAGTTGCCATGGTAACTAGACGATAAGTCAATAAAGCTGTTAGAGACTGGAGACGATTGACTAAAAATTGTCGATTTTTTCTCTATTTTTTTAAATTTCTCTCTCTATCTTTCCTCTCATTTACGATTTTTCCTTTTTACATATTTTTAGTTAAAAATTTTGCAATATACTCTAATAAGAAAGAGTCAATATATATCGTTATATAAACGAAGAATTTTTTTTTCCTCACGCAGGGACCAATTATAAAATGGGTAAAGAATCGAAATGATTCAATTCCACAATCGAAAAATGGAGCAAAAGAAGAATAGAAGTGAATCTATAGGAATCTATACTAGTAACACAAAACCTGTATTTTTCCCGTCTGGCAGGGTTAGGGCCTGAGACTAGGGACACTGTCGAGACTAGGTCCATGTCTATATAAGGTGATTAACGTCATATATGGTAATATGGTATTGTAAACATCAGAGGAAGCCATTTTGGTTTTGATCGAAATTTCGTACAACTGCATTTAGTGTTATTTTTGACGCGTGTTTACTCTTGGATTTCTTCCATTAGGAAGAAAACAAAATGGAGAACCCCGGAAGTGAGCCTCCACGATGTCCATGTGGTTTCTGGGGGTAAGAATGATTTTTATTCTTATTTTCTATCCAAATTTCGCAGCGCAAATCCGCGTCTTCGGGCTGAAGAAGCTTTAGTTGTTTAACGCTTGTACGAGAACTGCGTTTGCCAGAACTAAAAACAGTATTCACATTAACAAGAATATTATTTTCAGATCCCCACAGACTCTAAATCTGTGTTCTAAGTGTTTCAAAGATGGTAAGTAAGCGTAATAAATGCTTTAGAACAAGTCTGTCTGTACTTACTTGTAAGCTTACGTCCTGTCAGTATTCGTAGACTGCCTTCATTCGAGACCAAGTCATTTAATCGGGCACATTTTTTTCTAGAACAAAAGCGTAAATCAGAGGACCAAAGTGATGGTTCTGCGACGATATGCTCCCAAGTATCCATAAGCCCAGCTCCTCTAGAAAGAGTTTCGGCGTCCAAAGGAGAAAGTTCGAAGGATAAAGGAGCAAGCAGTGAAAATATGCCTGTAGAAAATGACGAAACAGCTCGCGATCAATGCGCTGCTGAAGTTTCGACTGAGTCAACAACTAGTGAAACTCCAAACGATAGACCTGTACAGAAAAATAAGAAACGCTGCTGGAAATGCAAGGCTAAGCTGGAGCTAGCTCAGAGAGAATTAGGACTGTGTAAATGCGGTAGGTACTATTACAACAGTCTTTCTCTTTATTACATCACGACTTCTTGACAGATTTCGCAGTCGTACTATGAAGGTCGTAATCTTAGGAAAATTTAATAGTTTTTTTTAATAACAATTGGTTCTTTGTTTTACACTTGTATTGCGCAAATTACTTCTTTTCACTAAGGTATTTCACTATAAGTTATAAGTATTTGAGTTTTACATTAAAAAGCCTATAAGCTTATTTTAGATTTACCTTTTTTAAAACTTTAAGTATTAATAATATTTGGGATATTTTTTCTATTGCTTACTTTAAACTCGTTGAAAACCCTTCTAGTAAAACTCTGCTTAATAATAGTAATGAACCTAATTGTTGAACACTTCAAATATTTGTGGAATGTGTTTTTTCCATTACACCTATCAGGAAATCTTCACTTTAATAAATCAATGACTATTGTCGTGTTATTTCAAATTTCATTTTTTTCAAGTCAAGTTATGGATGGACTGTGTACAATAACCCATGATAATGTGTAGGAAAATTGAAGTGTTGCGATGCAAGGAATTTTTTGATATAGTTTTTTTCTGTAACACTGAGACCAGGAATGGGACCTTGATAACAATGATCTTGAAAAGCACAGGGCAGTTTTCCTTTACACAATTTTTGGTGGAAAGATTAAAATTACATGTATGCATTATCATTATATTATGTCAGCAGGGATGGATATTGGGTAAGTTTTTGATGGGATTGGACTTTTTGCAATACATTTTTAGTCCTATTCCTGTAGCCTTGTGGGGGTGGAACAATGCCTGATGTCCATTTAAGCCAACATGTGGCTGGCATTTCAATTCGCCTTTTCGGTGCTAGTTTGGATTTTGTTACGGTCACCAAAAAGTTCCGACATCATTCTCGGATTTCCGTACAAATTCACTGAATTTAAAGGGAAAATTTAGGTAGATTTCTTTAGTTAGCTATCTTAACAGCAGTAGGAAAAGCTTCAATCAAGCTAGAAAAAAGATTATTTACTTGTATTTAGAGAACTAACTAAAAATTAACCAAATAAATAGGTCATTTAGAGTCAGTACATTTGTATGGAAATTCAATAACAATGTCCGAACTTTTTGGTGAACGTAACACGATCTAAAACAATTTATACCCCATGATGGCTTATTTTCTGTTTTTCTGACTTTTGTGTCTGTGTTTTAGGGTATGTGTTTTGCCAGTTACATCGTTTACCAGAACAACATGAATGTGAATTTGATCACAAGGAAAGTGGTAGGAAAGAAGCTAGGGAAAAGATGGTCACCCTTGGACCACGAAAAGTTGGCAGGTCTTTCCAGCGTATTGATGACTGTTAATGTATCCAGTATTCTACCTGTTATAAATGATAGCAGAGGAAAGAAGCTTCCATTTCTTGTCATAATGAAAATAACAAAGGATCGATGGTCCAAGAACAGCTAAGGTGATCTTTATGAACTTCAATAAAATTTTACAGATAACATGTTTTGTAATTACAAAGAAAACAACTAGGATTACCAACTATTGACATCGAATTGTATAAGTTCCCTTTTCTCTCTCATTTTATTTGGACATGAAAAGTTTTGGGGTATGTTACTGGAAAAACAGTCTGGTTGACAAGATATTTGCAGTTTGATTGATAGTAGGCAAAATGCTTATTTCAAGCCACACCCAATCTAATTGCCGACACCACTCTCATCAAAATCATCACCAGTGTTTGTATTCAACTTTTTTCATTGTCTTTTGGAAGAATCTAGTAGAAATGTGGGATAAGTTTCCTTTCTCAACTGTTCTAACAGTAAACCAAGAATGAGGTTGTCCTTAGATTAACCTTTCTAATGCCTGGCACCACACATAATACTGGATGATGTGAAAAGCATCTAGAACAGGCTTAAGGAAACATCAAAGGTGCACAACCTCTTGTGTTTATAGTCATTAACTTTTTACTAGAATAGGAAACAAGCATTTTTGATACCCATGCAATGAATCTATTTTGGGGTGCATGTTACGTCATAGCTGCCATGTTGGTTGGCGATAACAAATCATTCCACTTAAGCTTCTCTTGTTGGATCAACCAACATGACAGCTGTTTCATTGTTATTTATATATCAAGGGATTTTGAGTCACATGGTTGCACCCTGAGAATACTAAAAATTGTTGTACCAATACTTTAGGGGAAATAGAAATTTCTGCTAATAATACAATATATGTTATACTAAAAAAGCAAATTTCTGTCACTAGCCCTAAGAAGTATTTATGTATCACACCCTTTCAGTGTCATATGTACACTCGAGGGAATTTTTAACTTGATAACTTGAAAAGGAATGTATTCTTATCAGGGTATCATGGCATACATGCTTCTGTTGGCTATTCTACCCTACAAAGTATCTTAGAGCCTTAGCATGCATGGGAAGGGAAGTGTAGATCTTACAAATAAAACTATGTAATATTATCTAAAACAGGGGGGCTATTCTTGTATTGACATGTTGATTTTAAAGTGCAAATGAACCCTTTGACAATACATTCAGTACTGATTCT